GCCACCGAGCCTTTTGAGACGCTCCACTTGGACGTCTAGGGCCCTGCCCCTCGCCTTGGCCCTGAGCGCGAGCATTTCCTTTTGGTGGTCGTTGACGACTACTCCCGCTACACCACAGTGTTCCCCCTGGCGAAGAAGTCTGAGGTGACTTCTACGCTGATCAGGTTGTTGCTTACCACTGAGGGCACTCGTGGTCGTCGTGACAGCTGTCTTCACTCTGACCGTGGGGGTGAGTTTCGCTTCGGCATTCTCGCTGGATTCTATCGCGAGCAGGGCATTCGTCAGTCCTGGACGCTTCCAGAGTCCCCACAGTAGAATGGGGTTGCTGAGCACCGCATAGGCTTGGTCATGGAGATTGCCCGCACCTCCTTGACTCACACCCGTGCCCCCCATTTTCTGTGGCCCTACGCGGTTAGGTACGCCGCTCACCAGCTGAACCTCTGGCCACGCGTCTCTCGGCCAGAGGCTTCATCGACCAGTCTTTGGACCGGGTCCCCTGGTGTTGCGTAGAGGTTTCGTGTCTGGGGTTGCTTGGCTCTTATCCGCAACACTTCCGCGGACAAGCTCTCGCCTCGCGCCGTTCCCTGTGTCTTCCTTGGTTTCCCTGGGGACTCCTCTGACTTCACCTTTTACCACCCTCCCTCTCACCGGTTCTTTGACTCCCGTGACGTCCGTTTCGAGGAGTCCACCCCCTACTACGTCAGGTACCCCAGTCGAGGTCTCCCAGTTCCTCCTCCCCCTCTCTTCCTGACTTCCGCTCCCCCTACTGCTCCCCCGGTACAGCCTCCTCCCCTGGTCCCGCCCCGTCAGGTGTGTCCCAGGCTACCCCTCCCCCCTCGGTAGCCCCTCAGGTGCAGCCTCCTTCCCCGCAGTCCTCCCCGCAGCCTGCTGCAGACCCTGCGGGAGCCGATGCTCGTGGAGAGGGCCCTACAGGTGCTAGCTCTGGGGGTGCTGGAGTTGGAGCTGAGCCCGTGGTTGCAGGAGACTCTTGTCTTCCGGGAGCTGGTGTTAGTCTTGCTGACTCTGGGGGTGCTACGTCTGGGGGTGCGGGTGCACCCTCTTCGGGTCCTGGTGAGCCTAGTCGTGTTGCTGTTGGTGGTGCTGACTCTGGGGGTGGTGCGCCAGGTGCTTTGGAGGGCGGTCCCGGGGCTGCCGCACTCCCCGACACTACTCCTCCCCCCCACCCCTACCCGACCCGGCACCAGGCTCGTGTTCGCCGTGCCCGTGAGGAGCAGCTGGAGTTGGAGAGAGAGGAGAGAGAGTTGCAGCAGCTGGAGGAGCAGCAGCAGCAGCAGCCGCAGCTGGAGGCGCCGCAACAGCAGGAGGCGCAGCAGCTGGAGTCGCTACAGCAGCAGGAGGAGCAGCAGCAGCCGCCGCAGCAGCAGCAGCAGCCACCGCCGCAGCAGCAGCAGCAGCAGCCGCCGCCTCCTCTTCCTGTCTGCGGTCTTCGGGCCCTCGGTCTCCCCTCCCGCTCTCCTTCCTCCTCCCCCTCTCCTCCCGTCTCGGGTCCTCCGCTTCCTCCTCCTGACCCCTCCCCGACTGTTTTCCCTCGTTCTCAGCCTCCGTTGTCCCCTCCTCCTCAGACTTGGGCCTCTCGTCGCTCCCCTCGTGCTCGTCCCTCGTCTCTTGTTCTCGTTACTGACCTTCGTACTGCCCTCTTTCGTTCTAGTCCGCCTCGTTCGTCTCCGTCTCTCCTTCAGTCTCCTCTTGAGTCGGCTTTCACTGCTTCTCTCTCTACTCCTGTCACTGACTACTACTGCACGTACCGTCCTGTTCTCTCTCGTGTTCTCGCCTCTCTTGTTACCAACCCTCGTGCCTCTGTCTCCTCTGTCTCCGCCCTTACTGCCGCAGTCACTGAGTTTGCCTCCACTCGCCGCCTTGACTACGCCACCGGTCTTGTGGCTGCTCCTCCTACCAGTCCTCTGGCCGTCGGGGGTGAGTCTGCCCTTGGTTGTGACGCCCTAGAGGACAGGCAGTTTGAGCTAGAGTTCCTGGCAGCCGCTTCCCCACATCTCTGTGCCATGCTGCTCGCCCCTGAGGGAGACCCCGACGCCCTTGACATACCGACTCCTCGCACTTACGCTGAGGCAGTGTCAGGGTCTTGGGCCTCTCAGTGGAGAGCTGCCATGGACGCAGAGATGGCCTCCTACAGATCCACAGGCACCTACGTCGACGAGGTTCCCCCCCCTGGGGCGAACATAGTCGATGGCATGTGGATCTACAGGGTGAAGCGGCCACCGGAATCTCCTCCGGTCTTCAAGGCGCGCTACGTGGCTAGAGGTTTCAGTCAGCGCGAGGGAGTTGACTTCTTTCAGACCTTCGCGCCTACCCCGAAGATGACCACTCTTCGGGTATTACTGCACGTAGCAGCACAGAGAGACTACGAGTTACACTCTCTCGACTTCTCCACGGCTTTCCTTCAGGGTAGCTTACACGAGGAGGTCTGGCTGCGTCGTCCCTCTGCCTTCACTGACACTTTCGCTCCTGGTACCCAGTGGAGGCTGAGGCGACCTGTCTACGGTCTTCGTCAGGCTCCTCGTGAGTGGCACGACACTCTTCGTTCTACCCTCTCTGACCTTGGGTTCCAGCCGTCTTCTGCCGACCCGTCGCTGTTCGTTCGTCGTGGCTCCACACCGTTCTTTGTTCTGGTCTACGTCGACGACCTGATTTTCGCCACTGTTGACAGGGTTGCCTTGACAAACGTGAAGTCCGAACTGCAGAAGAGACACACGTGCACTGACTTTGGTGAGCCCCGCCACTACCTTGGTCTGCAGATCACCAGGGACAGAGCTGCTCGAACCATTACACTCTCACAGTCACACATGCTGCAGCAGGTCCTTCAGCGGTTCGAGCTTTAGCACTCCACAGTACAGCGCACACCTCTTGCTGTTGACCACAGACTTACTGGACCCTTTCCTGACGAGCCGTTTGAGTCTAGTGGTCCCTATGCAGAGCTGGTGGGCTGCCTCATGTACCTGATGACTTGCACTCATCCGGACCTCGCCTTCCCTCTCAGCATCCTTGCTCGCTTTGTTGCGCCAGGGAGACACCGTCCTGTTCACTGGACGGCAGCTGTGAGGGTGGCGAAGTACCTAGCGACGACATCAGGCGTGGGGCTAGTTCTTGGAGGGCAGCAGCCTGTCGTACTTACCGGTCACTGTGACTCTTCTTGCGCTGACGACGCTGAGACTCATATATCTACTCAGCGGTACTGTTTCAGCTTGGTTTCTGGAGCTGTTTCGTGGCGGTCCATGCGGTCTCGACCTCTATAGCTGAGGCTGAGATCTACGCCGGTGCCATGGCGGCACAGGAGCTGCGTTGGTTGACCCTCTTGCTCGCCGACCTTGGTGAGCGGCCGAGCTCTGCACCGACCTTGTTCACTGACAACAAGGCGTCGATTCTCCTTTGTCGAGAGCCGCGACTGGAGAGCAGAGTGAAGCACATTAACGTCAGGTACTTTCTTTTGCAAAAGTTGCAGAGACGTGGACAGGCTCGCTTCGAGTTTGTGGAGTCCGAGGCCAACACTGCAGACATCTTCACCAAGGCGCTTCCGCCTTGTGACCACCAGAGGTGTTGTGTGCAGTTAGGCCTTGTTGACACAGTTTCTAGTCGTGTATAGGCTTGAGTCTACTGTTTGCTTTGCTTGTACTCTTGCTATACACACTTGTGAACTCTCGAACTGGGCTTGTGGCCCCTGTTGCTTGTGCTCAGAGTGTGTGGTGACGTTGTGATCCACCCTGAGCTTTGTTTCTTTGTGACTGATCTTGTGACCGTACACTTTTGGTTTTGCTTGACACCCTTCACTTAGGCTATGGGTTTGTGTCAAATGTTGTAGCCTGTAGTGAGGTTTGTCTTAGGGGGTACAGATGTTAGGGTTTGTTATATGTACCTCAACCCACATCAATGAACCAACACTTTCATTCTTGACACTCCCCCCCCCAATCTTCTGCTCCTCACCCCTCCGATCCACCCAGTCCGATCCATACGGTGAAGAACGAAAACCTACACCGCATGGAACCGTAAACTTACAAGTTTGGAATCCCCCAAATCCCCGATTTTCTGATACATTTGCAATAGGTTGGGAATGTTAAGTTCTGTGGAAAACCATTTCGCATGTGCGAACTGAAACAAGAGTAGGCCATCAGCTCATACCAGGACAAGGGAAAATCCCTGCGTCACAAAATTTCGGCCCCCTAAAACTATGTTTAAAGAATGTTCTAACATAGTTCAAAGTATGCCAAACGGAACATAGTTGTGACATTAAGTGGATGAGTGCTGGGGGATTGTTCAAGCATACCTCGTGCATTCTTTAAGGTACCGTATGCCACAACTGACACTAATTACTCCCACCCAAATTACTTTATTCTCTACAAAAGGTTCTTCGTTTGAAGCCGCGGCCCTGGTTACCACCTGGTGCGTTGTTACCAAATTTTAGTTACAAGACGGTAAACTGTTTATATTTTTTTTAGTGTAGCATATGTGATACAAATAAATTCTCGTTATGTGATATTACGTTCAGTATATTCTGGTTCTCGTTATTGCTTTATTTGTCGCTATACATGATATAGTGAAGTTCTTTACAGATGTAACATTTTTTAGATGTTTATATAAAATGCTTACATGTCATGCATTTTATCGCAGCAACCCTAAAACGGGGGAAAATCCCCACTGAAAAACCACCTCGACAGACAACGCCAGGAGGCAGTCCTCAAGTAACCTAGTAGACCCTTAGGACGAATCGCGCCAACAACTAACACACCGAACTACAGCCACTTATTGAATCTACCCCGTCACAGCGCATCTATCTCGCTAACCGCCATTGTTGATGTACTGGCGGTGCAGCAGCCCCGGCAGCATCATCATTTGTCGCATCAGCCGCCGCAGATGTCGCAGCCGTCGCAGCAGCAGATGCAGTAGTTACCTGTTATATGAAAGCACACCCCTGCTAGTCTGTGTTCAGTTACCTGATTCAGAAAGTGCAAAGCCAGTTAGCTAGTCTAATGCATCATCCAATGATAGCGAATTCGCTGCAGGACATATGGAGGATTTATGATTCGCTGCTTCCTTTCGGCCCGCATCCCTTTGTGATGTTCGCCTCCCGTGGTCGGGCCGGCACCCTCGTCGCGCCGCCCCGCGTCGCGCCTTCCCCTCTCCTCATCGCGCTTTCCCCTCCCCTCGTTGCGCCGCTCCTCCCCTCGTCGCGCCTCCTCTCTTCGCGCTCCCCTCAACGCGCCAGCACCCTCGTCGCGCCTCTCCTCGTCGCGCCCCATTCCCTTCGCCGCGCCTCCCCTTGTCGCGCCTCCTCTCTTCGCGCCGCTCCCCTCAACGCGCCAGCACCCTCGTCGCGCTGCTCTTCGGCGCGCCTCCTCTCCCCCTGCCCTAATCTCACCCTAAACCCTTGCCCCCCTTTTCGGCCCTTCCATTCCCTCTTGTTGCCTTCCCTTCTCACCCCTTCAGGCTGTGAACTAAATCTAAAAGACCTTTCCTTCACATTCCCTCTCTCCCCTTTGGTGCCCATCCCTCCAAATGCGGCTTCCCTCATCCCCCTTCCCTCTTGTTACCTTCTCTTCCCATCCCTCCAAGGCTGTGAGAATGTAACAAAACTATCCCCCACATCCCCCCCCTCCCCACTTCTTGCCCATCCCTCCAAAGGCTGCTTCCCTCATCCCCCCCCCCTCTCTCCCCCTCATTTTCCCCCCCTGCTTCCCCTCATTTCTCCCCTTTCTTCCCCTCATTTCCCCCCTTGCTTCCCCTTATTCCTTCCTCTGCTTCCCCTCACTCTCCCCCCTTGTTTCCCCTCAATTCCTCCCCCTGCTTCCCCTCATTTCCCCCCCTGCTTCCCCTCATTTCCCCCCCCCCTGCTTCCAATCATTTCCCCCCCTGCTTCCCCTCATTTCCCCCCCCTGCTTCCCCTCATTTCCCCCCCTGCTTCCCCTCATTTCCACCCCCTGCTTCCCCTCATTTCCCTCCCCTGCTTCCCCTCATTTCCCTTCCTGGTTCCCCTCATTTCCCTTCCTGGTTCTCCTCTCGTTTCCCCTCTTGCTTCCCCTCGTTTCCTCTCTTGCTTCCCCTCATTTCCACCTTGCTTCCCCTCATTCCCCCCTCCTGCTTCCCCTCATTCTCCCCTCCTGCCCGTCCTTCTTCCCTTCTCCTTTTCCCCGCCCGCCCCCATCAGGTGCAGCAGGCTGAAGAAAGAGCCCTGTGGTGGCGCCATGCAACCATAGAGGTGAATGCTCCCTATACTACTTCCTGCTCCCCATCTCACCCCTTCCCAACGTCCTCTACCTGCCCCTTACCTGACCCCCATCAGGTGCAGCAGGCTGAAGAAAGAGAACTCTGGTAGCGGCATGCAACAATAGAGCTCGCCTCCCGCATACTGCACTGGCACTGCACCGCTCTGCACCCCTCTGTGCCGCAATCAGTGTTGCCCAAAAGCAGCAGTGATGATGTCATGTCGGATTTGCTATGCACCGAGGGGGATGACGGCGGCTCAGGAGGAGGATCGGCAGCAGCAGCAGAGGCCCCACCAGCAAAGGCACCACAAGCGCCAGGTGCAGCAGGTTTTGTTCAAGGCCAGAGGAGGGGCAGCAGCAACAGCATTGGTGGATCGCTTCTGTGGGACTCTAATGAAGGAGTGAATGCAGCAGTTTCAAGTGTGCTGCTGCCGATTGCCTCTATTGCCACTGCTGTCTCAACAGCAGCAGCGCTAGCAGACTAACCGGAAGCACAGCTGCTGTAGGCTGCAAGAGAGGCGTTGAACAAGGCACTCTGTTTTGAGAATGAATGATTGGCCCACAGCTTGTCTCTTGTTTCAGCGGCAGCTGCGTTGGCAGACTTACCGGAAGCACAGCTGCTGCACGCTGCAAGATATGCTCTGAATAAGGCGCTGTTGTTCAAGAATGAATGATTGGCCTGGCCGCCCACTGTTACGGCGAACACTTGTAAATATTGTGTATTTCTGCATGGAATCTGCTTTGATGTTGTGATTCTGACCTGCCATTGTAGTGGCATCGTTTTCCAGAACATTTCTGACCCTTGAAAAGTAGTACTACCGTACCGTACATATAATGCTGCAAATTATCAGTGGAACAGAGATCAGCAGCTAACGCACGTGCCATTCAATTGTCCCATGTTGTTCTAGTCTTCCTGCTAACGCACGTGCGCCCGTCTAACATGCAAGCAGCCAAGCAAAACCAACAGCCATGGTGATGGCTGTGCCAAGGTAGCCTGCCAACAGGAGAAGCATGACAAGATCTAGTAGTTAGTACCTCCTTTACAATCACAGGAGGCAGTTAAGGAGAGAAAGCACAAATGCAAAATGTACAAAATAAAACAAAAGCGTCCAAAAGAAGCACAAAATACACCAACAAACAAACAAATAAACAAAATTTCCCTTTACCAGAATATAAGTTAATCATACCAAGCTTGATTGGAGAGGTGGATGCAGCTTTGCCAGTGGAATTAGTAGATCCGGTCCCACTGGGAGTGCTATCAGGGCGTATAACCACGCCCGCCGCGGTAGAGATCATGGTGCCATTACTCCACATCGTCAGGTCACCTACTTTCATGGAACCATCCCCGTTAGAAACAGGTCGAATCTGCTCCCCATTGAGATCCGTGAAGGTCCCGTTTTTGTAGATAATCGTGCTGCCTATAAGCGTGCTGCCGTCGGAACGTTCGGCGAAGATCACGCCGTCAGGACCAACGAAAGTGCCGTTAGGGTAAACAGTGTAGCCTCCAAGGGTTTCGGACCCATCCGCGTTCTTGGTGGGAGTTACAACGGCTCCACTGCCATCGACAATGGTACCGTTATGGAATGAGGTATAGCCGCCGACGGAAACTGAGCCTGCTTCTGCACGGCTGGTGAGCGTGAGTGACGCAACGGCAGCGAGGAGCAGCACGACGACGCGAAAGGCCCGCGAGTCGAGACGGAGCGCCATGACAGGTACTCGAGACGATCGTCGAAGTATTGAAAAAGGAGGGATGTTAGGACGCGGCTAAGTAAACTGGAGTGACATTATGCAGTTCATTCATCATCATATACCGTGACGGGCCCGACTCAGGTCCCACTTCTCGCCCTTCTCCCCTTTCTCCCCACGCCCTTGCGCCACTGTCCCCCGTTTCCCATTCCGCCGCTAGGATTCTATCCAGTCTGATTCATGCCACCAGTGGTGATACACCATACGGGCCCCGTTCCGCTTTCGCCCTTCTCCCCGCCCTCCCATGCCTTGCGCCATTCCCCCTGTTACCCATTCCGCCGCTAAGCGTGCTTTGCGCTCTCTGAAGTCTGAAACTTACAGTGCACTGCAATGGCAGGTCCATCTATTGTCGGAGTTGCCGTGACGAGAAATTTCCCACGACCTGCGCTGCGCGCCAGAACGGAAACACCCTGTTTGGCCGAGGCACATCTGTACAAAGTTTCGCAGGCCCCAAACAAAAATCAGCCACCATAACCCTACTCGTGAATGTTACATGGTTGCACAAATTCGCAGCTAGTTTCGCGAAATGAACCATGCCGTAAAATCTACTGCGATGTGTTCTCGAAGAACTTTCTTAGTCATCCCTGTTTTGCCCCGCAATTGACCGTTCAGCTAGGCGGGTTTGGTGGGTCCGTGTGTTGTGGGACGCTGGAAAATGTCGGCCTTGCAAAATGGTAACCGGGAACAAATAGTTTTTTTTCACATCACCAATTGAAACAGTTCAATATATAAAATACTATAGGACAGACATCGGGGATGTAGCTCAGATGGTGGAGCGCTCGCTTAGCATGCGAGAGGTATGGGGATCGATACCCTACTTCTCCAGCAAATTTTATTTTGTGTTGTTGCTTTTTGTCATTGTGTGTGGTGTGTTTCCTATCAGGCTGACCTCTTGTCAGAAATAGAGCTCCGAGAAAAATCCGCTCTAGACCGTGCGAAACCTGTCACACGTGCTAGAACTATGCCAGCGAAGCAAGTCCGGCAGTTGCGATAAACACAGGAGGAAGGATCTCGTTTCGGGTATGGATTTGCATTTGCACATTCTTTTCCTTTGGCATTACCGTATTCATCATCAAATGCCTTAGATAGGGTACCCATGAGACATGTACATACATCAGGAGTGCCCATTCATCAGTGCTCACAAAAGGCATCACATACGGAAAACAAAGGTGTGTTGCAATTGAGGCATGTATCGGCTCCTTATCACTGGCAGCACCAGCAGCACCAGCAGCACCGTCAGGACTGGCATCACTGGTAGTGGCAGCAGTAGCAACGGGAGGGGCACCAACATGCTCGCGATACATGACTCGGTTTCTCTCCCCATTCCAAGAACCTCCCCAACACAAGATCATCCATTGCTGCCTGTCGGGCCCCTGCCGTTGCCATCACCGAACCTGCCCCACATCTCCACCCTAGCACCACCAACACCACAAGCAGAACTACCGGCGCATGACTCAGTTCCTCTCCAACACAAAATCATCTGAAGCTGCCTGCCGCCTGTCTCCACCACCACACCACCGTATCCACCCACTCCACCCTTGAAGCAACAGCACCACAAGAAGCACTACCAGCGCATGACTCAGTGTACCTACACCGCCTCTCCACCCTAGCACCACCGGCAGCACTGGTAGCACTGGCAGCACCAGCAGTGGGGGCAAAAAATACATACTACCGGCGCATGACTCGGTTTCTCTCCCGCTTCCTGAACCTCTCCAATATAAGATCATCCGATGCTGCCTGCCGCCTCTGTCTCAACCACCACTGTACCTTCCCCAACTCTTCACCCTAGCACCACCGGAAACAACACAGGCAGCACCAGCAGTACCAGCACCACCAGCAGCGCTACCGACGCATGACTCGGCTCCTCTCCCGCTTCCTGAACCGCTCCAATATAAGATCATCCGTTGATGCCTGCTGCTCCTATCCCCGCCACCTCTGTACCCACACCACCTCTCCACCCTAGGACCACCAGCAGCACCAGTATCACATGCAGCGCTACCGGCGCATGACTCGGTTTCTCTCCCGCTTCCTAAACCGCTCCAGTATAAGATCATCCGTTGATGCCTGCTGCTACAGTCCCAACCACCACTGTACCCACCACACCTCTCCACCCTAGCACCACCTGCAACAACACAAGCAGCATCAGCAGCATCAGCAGCACCAGCAGCACTATCGGCGCATGACTCGGTTCCGCTCCCGCTTCCTGAACCACTCCAATATAAGATCATCCATTGATGCCTGCTGCTCCTATCCCCGCCACCTCTGTACCCACACCACCTCTCCACCCTATGACCACCAGTAGCACCAGTATCACAAGCAGCGCTACCGGCGCATGACTCGGTTTCTCTCCCGCTTCCTAACCCGCTCCAATATAAGATCATCCGTTGCTGCCTGCCGCCTCTCCCCTCCTCCTCTCCCACCACCACCTCCTCCCCCATACCCACCCCCACCCCCGTACCCCCCTCCGTCCCCATCTCCCTGCTGATAAGGATCCCCCCCACCGTACCCCCCTCCCCCTCCTCTTCCCCCTCCGCCTCCCCTTCCCCCACGCCCTACCCCCCTCGAGTCTCGGAACATGTCGGGATTGTATGGAGTAAAGTGGAAGGAGGGTAGAAAAGGGGAGGGGATGAAGGGAGGGAACAACGGGTGAGATTTGAAGAATCAAGTGGGAGAAAAACGTAATAGAAATATTACACCCCTCCTCGTCTTCCCCTACCCCACGCCCTCACCCCCTCAAGTCTCGGAACATGTCAGGGTTGTCTGCAATGGGGGGGACGCGGATGGGAGAATCAGATGAATTGTGCGACAAAAATGATGTAGTTGTGATTGTGGTGTTATTCTTTCGCCGTTGCTGTAATAACGAAGATTATGCAAAGATGCAGTGTAGTGCGATGTAGTGAATGGGCATGTAAGCTTCTCCGCATATTCACGATCGCGCTGAAAGAATTCTGCATTGTAGCTGGCAGGCAGCGTTGTGGAGGGAGGGCTTGTACGCAGGAGAAAAGATTGAGAACAGAAAAAACGAGTACAGAAACGGGAGAAACAGGCAGATAAAAAATCAACATGAATGAATGGGTAAGGCGCTTGAGAAAGGCCGAAAGGATGAGAATTGGCAGACAGATGGGATTAGGCAACCAAAAACCAAGGGGACTTTCTAGGCAACTCAAACTTCCTGTAAAGCAGTTGATAAACAGGATGGGAATAGGCGGAATCAAACAAACCTGCAAGTCGGTATTGAGAGCATG